TCACCCACTCTGAAGACTTCTCTCTCTCCAGATGGTTGTTTGTGCTGTCCTAACTCCTAACTTAAGTTTAGACTGTTGCACTGACATTACATCAACAGCAGCCCAGCCCGTAGAAACCCTGCCAAAACCATGGGTGATCCCTTTAAGTACGCGTGTGTGTTCGGCTCATGACTCTATGGGCTCAGAATGTTGGACTGCTGCGTAGAGTAGATGTTAAGCAGAGACACACGACTGCACGGAACCAGGGGCTTTTCCTTTCTGCGCCAACAGAGACAGACACACAGACAGACAAGGGAGGAGACAAGGAGACTAGAATCATCTATAGAACCACAGTGAAATGTGGACGCCATGTGTGGAGATGAAGAAGTTGAACTAGAATATATAGATAAGCGAAAATGTATTGGTATCATAACCTCAAAGTTAGTTTTGGGTGGCCATGTTTTGACAGCAATGACAATTCATCAAAATTAACAGGAAGATGACTGACATTGCTTATTTTCAAAGACATCCAAGGCAGTTGGAGATAAAAAAAAAAAAAAAAAAAAGTACTATTCTTGCTTATAAAAATCAACATCAGCATGTAACTTTCCGGATGTGGCACGTCAACTGCTTGATTCCATGGAAAAAATTTAAACCATATATTCTCCATGGAATTCTCAAAGTGTGAAAAATGAGGCTATATCCAAAAAAACAACATTCCCATGGAAACAAGCAGGCCGTCCTCCAGGCCAAGTAAGAATCAGGTTTGTGGAAATGCAAGCTTGCTCACAGTAAGGACGAATGTTTTTCTATCTTCATCTGTGCAATAAACACAACCATTTTGGAGGTACTGGCAGTGGTGGAAGGTAACAAAGTACAAAAGTAAAACTACTTCCTTGAGTACAAAATTTTGGTATCTGTACTTTACTTAAATACATTTTACAATGGATACTTTGAGAACATGTACTGTTCTTTCTTCTCCACTCCATTTTAGATCTGATCTGAAAAGTAAAAAGTACTTTGAAATAGCTGAGACTGTTTTTGTTTTTATCACATTTTATTTGAGTTTTCATCTCAACTTTGAGCAAACCAAACACAAACACAGCTAGAAAAATAAGAATCAGTTGGATCACTTAATATCAGCAACAATCTTCAAAATTCTTCCATCAAAATACACTATACATTACATTTCATCCTTTAATTGTTCTAAAAATCTCAGCAAAGTACTTTTTACTCTTTTTACTCTAGAGGGACTTTAATACTTTTACTTAGAGGGACAGTCCAGAATTTTGGACATAGAATCTCATTTCCTAGTGAGCCAGAGTGTTGGAGACGTGTGGAAACACTTTTTCAAATATTCCATCCAGTCCTTGTATTTGCAGAGGTCGCTGGTGCTAGGCTAGTGCATGTCAATGGCCATAGTTAGCCTGCCACTAAAAACAGTCTTACCCACTCCACAAAACACCCAAAGTATATCTATTATTACACCAGACTGTCGATGTGAATGTCTGTGTCAACAGAATAATTTTAGAAGTAAAACCAACCTTGCATTGAAGGATTTATGTCTGAGCAGCAGCAGTGAGTTGTATTTCTTGATAGAAAGCTTGGCAGCGGTGGACTAAGATCACCTAGCTTAACGGCAAAATAAAATTCGGCTGCTGCTGATAAAATAGTCCCTCAACATGCAGCAATTCATGCGATGCAAGTTTAGTTTTATTTCAAACATTATTCTATCATCACAGACATTCACATCGACAGTCTGGTGTAATAATAGATTTGCTTCGGGTGCTTTGTGGAGTGGATAAGACTGTTTTTAGTGACAGGCTAACTATGGCCATTGACATGCACTAGCCTAGCACCAGCGACCTCTGCAAATACAAGGACTGGATGGAATATTTTAAAAAAGTGTCTCCACACGTCTCCAACACTCTGACTCACTAGGAAATGAGGTCCTATATCCAAAATTCTGGACTGTCCCTTTAAGAAGATTTTTTCATGTGATACTTTTACTTGAGTCACTTTTTGCCCCTGTATTTGCACTTTTACGTAATTTAAGTAACTAAATTGATTACTTCATCCATCAATGGGTATTGGGCAATAAAAACACCTGGAATTGAACAAAGCAAGATAAATGCGTTGAATGCAAGCAGTAACATAGTACACTTTAATAGGGCCTGTACCCAGATTTTTTCCCATGTATTTGAGCAAGATGTGTCTTGTCTCAGTACAGATTTACAGTATAGTATAAGCAGCTCTAGAAATAATCCTGTCTGCATCTAATTTTAAAGTGTTCTATCATCTGATGCTAATTGTTAGCTTTATCATCAAGGCAAAACTCATCTTTGGTCTCTGAGAGTGGCATAAAGCACTAAACTCATCACTGTAAATAATTAAATTGGAATGCACAAGCTAATTGAGGAATAACTTTTGACCTCTGCAGACTCTTTGAAATCAACTAGTTCTGTTTCACGTTTTCAAGAGCGCTTTTAAATCAAGGATAACATTCTGAAATGAGTTAATCTCCTGTCACTATTCTTTATTGTACAGTATTAGCCTACAGCAGTCTGCAAACCTCCCCTCGCGAAGCTGCTTCCCTGTGAGGACGTGCCTGAGGTCATGACCCTGTGCCTCACTGTAAATCTTCCTGGTGGGTGTTGCTTTGGCTGGTGCATATTCTTCATATAAAAGTTGGAGCTAAATGAATGTGTGTGCTGTTTCCTGTGGAGTGGAATGCTACGCGCAGAGGGCACACACTGGCTCTGCTGTGTCAATAGTCACGGTATGTTCAAGTGCGCTCCGGATATTCCACCGCTGAGTCAGAGCACAGGGATGGAGAGGTGTGTGGAGAGAAGGAAGCTTTATATGAGACAGTATTTATTTAATAGTCAATATTTAAATAAAATATGTAGAGACTGAGTGTTGAGGAGTCAGGGTCAAAATTCTGCTTTAGCTTTACATTATATTTGTATATAAAGGTGCTGTACCTGATTTTGACAATCTTAAAAACATGAAAAAACTGTTCTAGTTCATTTTAAACAGTTTGTTGTGGTCCAAAGTTATTCCTCACTTATCTTATGCATTCGGAGCATCCTAATTATTCACCAAGATGAGTTAATAAGCGCTTTTCACAACTTTCATAGTTCAGAGTGTAATTTTATCGACAGTAAAGTTAACAACAACTAGCATTCTAACGGCACACTGCTTATATAATATATCTGTACTGGGACAAGAGAGATTTCACTATAATACATGCATCACAAATTTCAGACTTTTGGTCATTGCGCAAAAGGTTACCTTTGGCTGCTTAAGAAAATCATCCCAAGTTTGCAGCAAACATTTTGTATGTGGAGCGCCAACAAAGCTAAAATCCCGATCCCTCACTCAACCTTGGTTACGAATTTAAAAAGTCACCGCCAAAGCAAAAGGCACCAGTTGTTTGCCAAGAAACATCTTCCACCGCAATGCGACCAAGGCGTGATGTTGATGTAAAGCCAGACGAACAAGAAAGTGCTAGCTCAGCCTGTTTGTCTTCTGCACTTTTCGTTTGACAAACGGGATCCCGCTTTGATGGTGCTCCACAAACAAAATGTTCGCTGCAAACGCGGGATGATTTCTTAGGCAGCCAAAGGTTACCTTTTTCATCCTTCCTGTGTATCAATACTGCCCATTGCCTTCCCCTTTCACTATTTTTCTTTTCCTTTGCAGTCACACAGATCTGATTCCCTTTTGCAGTTATGAAGCCTGTTTTTCGAGGAGTTTTTCACCATTAGGACATCCAACAACCACACAATTACGATGTCTGAATTCCATAACTAAAATATGACAATATCAGAACCAGAAACAAAAGTATTATGGTTCAAAAGACTAGAAAAGATTGGCTTTGACAATAGACGCATCCCACTGAGACAACAAACATGGCAGTTTGATGCTCACTGTTTTGGAAAATCCTTCCCAGTATGCAATGACCAATGACCGAAAGTCTGAACTTCTGCATGTATACATGGGAAAAATCAGGTACAAGGCTTTTAAGTGTAATCTTATTTGTACATACAGTCATGTTATTTGTCATAATAAAAAAAATGGTTGTCCCGGAATACATGTGGAGTAATTGTGGCCATTTATGTTTGAAATATGCTAATCATAATGTAATAAGCAGGTCTCTATGGGCCAGCTGCACCTAACATCAAGTGTTTGGCACTGCCCCAATACCCACACTACACACCGCGTACTCCAGTGAAGTGTACATTTTCTTAAAGTGCACGAATGCCTGGCGTGGATGGGTGAAAAAAATGAGAATTGGGACACTTCGGATGACTGGTGTCGTCAGTTTGATGGAGGAGACATCCAAGCATCGTAAAACAGCTATCAGTGGTGTCGTTAAACTACTGTTCAGTTAATCTAAAAGCCCCACCTCACAGCCTTGGTTTAAAGTGTCCATTTTATGCTTTTTTAATCTATGTTGTAATGTTGTTTTCTCAAGGCAAACATACTTGGAGTTTGTCTCATTCACACATGTTTAACACATAAATCCTCCGTGTAGAGAAAAGAGAGAGGTTAAGAAAAGCAAATTTTATAGAAGAAAAAAGTCTAGAGGACCTATGGGTAAAGGAGGGTGTGTTCTGTAGAGATGTATGGAAGAGCTGTAGTCAGCATGTGACAACTATACCTGTGGTGAATGACGATACCGTACTGTTCAACAATTTAGTAGCAGCGGAGCTTTATTTAATGTAATAATAAATGTTTGGTGTCATTGTGTGCCCTATGGATATGGTGGTTGTGTATTAAAAAAGGACAGGGTATTTTTTGGGCTGCAGTCCAGAGGTTTGTGGTTTGTTTATCGACTCTTATCTATGCTTTTGTTTCACTTTGAGAAATTCTAATGAGTGTGGTCCTGCTACAACATCACATCACATTGTCACATAAACCAACCAGAGCCCTGAGTTGTGGATCTGAGAAGGGCTGCTGTAAGTATAGAACCTATATTTTCTGCTGTAAATAGTGAGTGTTGTGTGTGCGTGTACCATTGATCCAGTAGTCCTGTGAGATCTCCGTCCTAATGTAGTGCTGGTCTGGAGCTGGGCCCAGGGAGCGAGTGAAGGAGGCGTCTTTACCCAGGAAGTCTGAAGAGGTGCCCGAGTACAGGAACTGATCTGCAATAGACAGCACGCACTTTATCATCTGTAGACAGCACACTTAGCTTCAGCTGGTACCGCTATTCACCTGTTTAAAGCAGACCCATTCTTCAAAATCAACATTTCAGAGCTTTTAACCACGTTTTAGGTGTTTCCGTTTCTCATTTATCCTCTGGAAGTTTGCAGGTTGGAGTAATCTTTAATCACTTATTTTCAAAATGCCATATTGCCGATCAACCTGTTTTTACTGCCACCGGCATTTGCCCAATTCTCTGTATTCACTTTGTTCTCCATTTTTATTTTCTTAATCAGTGATATGCCTAGGATTCTGCAGCATCACACAGTCATTTTGGTACAAATGAAAAAAAAAATTACCTACTTGCCAGTGTGATTATTAGTTATACAGTTATCCATAAGAGGTGCCAACAGCTACATGGCTCTTTGTTGTGATGGCATTTAAGACTATGTTAGCTCCTATTTGTTTCTTTTTAAGCCATTTTAGTACTGAATACTGTGATTTCAAATGTGCAATTTATAACATAATGATCCATGGGTGTCATAGATTATGACTACCTGTTGTTGTAGATTATAACTTTCCTCCTGTCATGGTGCCTTGGTGGACTTACCTGTGAGTACTGAGGTGAAGGGCTGTACAGGGTCAAAGGGACACTTGAGCCTGCCTGATTCCTCTGTGTCAGACAGCAGCTGGAACTCCCCGTCCTGAGAGACAGACACGGATAACATATTGTGTAAGCAAGACACTAGTCTATGGGTCAAAAGTATTTCAAAACAGATTTAAAAATGTATTTATTTACTTATATATGTATTTATTTTTATTGTGCTGATTTGATATTGGAATATTCAGTTCATATTATGGCAAACAGTCTTAACAAAAGTACATTTTGTTTTGTTCCAGTACATAAAAGCAGATCTTAGACTGTAAATGGAAATAGCTAACCGGTTAGCCACTGTGTTCCAAATAGGAACTGCAAGTCCATTGACTCCAGCTCCAATTCACTTTTGTATTGAGAAAACGTTGCCACTGTCTCCCTAACTGCTACTGTCAGGCTCCTCATTTTGGTCTTAACACCAACCTACTCTAAATGTCTTCATGTAGTCCGTTCTGATGTTTTAATTCTGCTATTTTGTTTGCTAATCAATTTCTATTCCTAATATAGGAACTGGCTCCAATATGGGCAACGTCACACTCTTTTAGTTCACTTCTTTATACAGTTTATGGTAAAATTAAGACCACTCTGTTTTAATTATAAAACTTCTTCCTACTTTGGATCACTGCAAAGTGTTGAAACTAAATTAGATCTGTTGTTCAAGTTTTTTGTTTTTTTTGTTTTTTTCAGACAGTAAAAATCAGGTACCATGCCTTTAATGATCTTTACCTGTGTATTTCCAGTGATGCGGAGGTAGGCACAGATGGGATGGAAGGCCCCAGTCCCGCAGGTGTACAGGTGTGTGTGGTTGTAGTTGTGCAGAACCCGAACAAAGTTGGCACATTCCAGCTGAAATAAAAATAATGTCACTTAATCTAAATTTTGTGTTTTTTTTTTCCCCCTACCTTTGCTAATGGAATGCATGTCAAGAACTATCAAAACTTTTCACACTTACATTTGGGTTTTTGCCAGCCTGTCTGCACATGTCGACACGCTCCCTGGAGGCTGGCCAATGGATCTGAAAACATAAACCATTTTAATCTTGTGTAATATTAATGAACATTTTAATTTGACGTAATAAGACTAATACGAATGCTAAGAAGGCTGATGTAGGCCTATAGGATGCCTCATAATGTTTGAAAGCTTATTTATACAAAGTTGTTTTTAGTTGCTTGTTTGTTATAAAATGGTAGAAAGCCCCAAAAATTCAATATAAGTACATTTTCCATAGATGTTAATAAATTAACCCCCTACAACTCGAACAGTAAATGTGCTCTAACATTTCCGTTTTACGGTTTGTCACCAGCTTGTCACCATGGAGTTGCTTTCCCTGAAATGCTCCACAGTATGGCATTAAACACATCTATCATTCTTGAATTGCTCCATGGAGACAAGCAGGTGACCACTCTACCAGAAAAGTTACACAGTGCCCCTTTTACTACAAAAAAAGTACAAAAAGAAAAGTTCCACTAACCTCAATAAAGGTGCATATATTAAATACTGAGGCCCAAAATATACAGTTCCTTTCAGATTCACTGAACCATAAGTCAATATTGTAACAGACAAGCATACACATAGCTAAAAAATGTATAGTAGCCCTTACCCTTACACTGATCATGCTCATACATGTGTGATAACAGGCTTACGGTCTTACTGCATTACTTCCACCTAAAGCCCGCTAAGGAGAGCCATCGCCAAACTCAACCATGGGTCAGCGGAGCCCCGTACACACACGATTCTCTTTAGGATTCATAACTAACACATGCCGAGGAGCAAATCAAACAGAAACACTGCTCAAAGTGCCGGTAAAGTACAGTGAACAGTCTGTGAACAGGATCAGACAGGGTCCCATGGAGAAATCATCAGATACAAACAGCTGCAGCTTACAAGGCTGTGGTCAGGAGGGGGAACGGTGAACTGGAAAAAGTACACACAAGGGTATGTTGTTTGCGGGACTGTATGTATGAGGTACTTCAAGGGTTCATATAAAGTAGTGTTGTCATGATACTAAAGTTTCAAACTCAATTTCGATACTAAGAAATAGACTCGAATTCAATACTGATTCGATACCATGGTAATAATAAAATAACTTTTTTTTTTATAGTACCATCTGGGTTTATATCTGTGTAATCCCTCAGTCGCCACAGTAAATTCCATAGTGGTCCATGGTCGTATACTAGTCTATGTGCTCTTATACTTGTTCTGATACAGCTCAAGATCATTCTAAATCTATTCAGGAAAGGTTCATTTCTGTCCATTGAATGTGAGTTTTCAGTATTGATACTTGCTCCAATGAGTACCTAGTTTTAGTATGGATTAGTATTTGATTTTCATTACTTTTAACAACCCTAAATGTATGAGGAACTTAAAGTGTCCATACAAGGCTGAACTGACTTCTTAAAGATTTTCACTATGTTACAAACTTGTAGTGTAATGTTTGTTTCATTCACATCTGTTTGTGTAAACTTGGAAAGCTCGAAAAGCTCTGTCCCACAACGTCATGTCATGGGGTGATGCTTTTCTTCAGGAATGGCTTCTGTTTCACTCCATTCATCATCATTTCAGTGTAATTTCAGAAGGTCAAATGTTCACAGCAGCTAAGACGATAACAATAATTTTATTTTGTCTTGCTAAAATTATTACAACACCAAAACTAAAACAAAGACAGCTTTAAGTTACGAGTTAGATTCCCAGACCATTTTCTCAATTCCCAAACTGAGGATAAGGCCATTAACGATGTAGTATATTTCATAAACATGCACGCTACTCTCTACACCTGCCTTCTCCAGACTCTTAAGCACAACACACAACAAACTATCCTGTAGAAAACCCCTGATAATCTCGCCAAGTAAGCAGCTCCACTAAACATTAGGTTGTGTCTAAGCCCGGTGTGTGGGTCAGTCCTGGTCCCAAATGAGTGTGAACGGCCCTTATCTGGGAGGCATCAGGATCAGTGGAGAGGAGGAAAGGCAACATTCTGAACATTTAAACAAGCAGATAGAGATCACATAAACAGCAGTGCATCAGGCTCAGCTGCACACACACTTCACATGTGGCTCTGCTCCCACCGCACTGGGCCTGTCTGCAGTGGAGAGGGCTGGAGGACTTACACTTACTTTAGAGGAACTTCTGAGAGTGGTTTTATCAAAGCATTGTTTTTACTTCTACTTCTGGTTACACTTTACATATAAAACATACTCTGACACGCCAACATTTATGTTCAGCTTTCTCCAGAGAACTGCTTTAGTGTAACTTCATAAGTGCAACTGAACACTAAATAGCTAACCTTTTTTCTACTAAATGTATATGGTGTTTTAATAGCATTCCCTACTGTTCAAACTTCAAGCTCTTCAAGCTTTTTGTTCAAGAACAGTGACAAAGTGTGTGCTGTGTCCATGGGCCACAGTAATTTCAAGTACTACATACTACGTGACATCATCTAGGGCTGCTCTGACTAAAGTTACGTATTGTTCAAGTTTATTTCCTTAAATATGTAAAGTGTTTATTTACTTAACTTTGTATAGTATTTGTCATGCTGGGTCTGTTTGCTTATACATGAAGGGCTTGTATCTTCAAGGTATAAATTTGTCTTGCCTCATTCAGTACACACATTTTCTATAAGCAGCTCTTGAGGTAAAAAATAAGTTTGCTATGCATTATCTGCATCTACTTGTAAAGTGTTTATTGTTGTATAATCAGGAAGTGTGTGCTAGCATGCTAGTTGTTATTAGCATTCCTGTGACTGGTCTCTGAAAGTTGTGAAAACGCTCATTAAATTTATCAGAGCAAATAATTAGGATGCTCTGAATGCATAAGGTACGTGAAGAATAACCCAATGCAACTAAAGTTTTTCAAGTATACTTTTTTATTCTCAAAAGAACCTTCTTGAAATAAATAATGTTTTTGGTCTTAGTGAGTTATTTTGAAGTTGGTTGGATGTTATTTAAAAATCCCTGGATGCTCTATGCTTTTCTGTGACTTATTTATCTTCTAAACTAGACTATAATAGAATCAGCACACACTGCATTTGCCTTTGATTGATCTGTGACCTATAACCATCATGTGCATTCCACTCCAAATCATCCAATCAGGATGGCCGGTGTAGCGCAGGTGGAGGTGTTGTGTCAAATGTGATCTACAGCCGGTGAATAGCACAGGTTATGAGTTGGTCTGGGGAGATGTCGTGACTTGAACTTCCTCCAGGAACATCACTGTGAAGTGGGGTGTGGGGGACTTTAGAGACCTATACATATTTCAGCAACAATATGAAACACCTTTCTGTTTCCTCTATTTGCGGTTATGTAAATTCTTTTAGAGTTATTCAATTGCTGGTGATGTATTTAGGGCTTTTTAAGGCTATACAAATGTGTGGACAAGCGTGTTGATATAAGTTCTATTAAGTTGTCAAGCTGGGTGTGCTCCAGGGATGTCTGCTTTCCCCTTTAACTTTAAAGGGCCCATATTATCCTATTTCCCATCATTCTCATCAAAAACAAACCTGGAGCTGTGTTTTGTTTCATTCAAACATGTTTAACCCACACATTTTGCATATTTAGTTGCAAATAGAGTTCTTCTCTCAAACAGAAAACACTCTAGAGTAAATTTTGTGTAATATAGGACCTTTAAACATGCACAGTAGGGTAATGCTCCAGCTATTTGCTAAGGTGCTACAGTGGGGTTATCTTTGTTTAGGCTACATCAATTTCCCACTAGCCTAAAACACTAAGCCTCCAGCTAGTTACTCTTTGCCAAAACTTTTCCTTGAAATTTGCACTATTCTCAGCCATTGCTCTGATGATAATGATTCATAATAGGTCTTTTGGGTTAGCTACAGTAACCACATCTGCCCTGGGGCTGACAGGTGGAAATATGGCTGTCAGTCTGTGCCACAGGCCTTTCTGAACACCAATCAAGAGGGCTGGGTGATTTAGTAAAAAAAAAAAAGTATAATGTTTTCTTTTTGCTCATATTGATTGATCTTGAATTTCAGTTTGTTTTGGTTTCCTTTTCAAAAACAAAAATAAAATGCCTCTTAGTATTTATTTCATGAGCATAAACAATACAGTCTTTTAATCCGTATAATTTAGTCCAGAGTTTGAACTCCAAACCACATGCTTTTACTGACAGAGGATTGGCTGTACAGCTCTCGTATCAAAAACTCAGACCATGTCTTTGACGATTAGACATGACTAATTCTTTTGATCTTTTGATTAATTTACCTCGCCCTGCCCATCACTCACATACACATAACTTCACACAGAGTTAAAGTGAGAGAAGAACACTTTGGTTTTTTTCCCTAACATTAAAAAATCATTGTGTGTGGGCCATGGTGTGGAGTTTATTTTACCGGAGCCCACCACATGCCTTTTCCCTTAAATGCACAGTATGTAACCTTGTGGAGGTGGTCTGTATGATTCCATGGAAATAGAAACGTAAAAGCATGTTGTCAAAGATTCATCACTTTGCGGTTCAGATTTTTGCGTTTTTAAGCCCCCAAAACGCCATCACCATCTAAACGAAAGGCACTTCTGATAAAATATGTTGGCGTTTTTACATGCAAGTGTTCTCGTGTAAAGAGCCGTGAAAATCCGGGATAGTAGCTGGCATTTAGTTTCCCATGATTCTTAGTAACAATGTGTCTGTTAGGACCAAAAAAGGTGACTCTCTCAGTAGCTTTTTTATTAGTTATTACCTGAGAAAATGCTTTATGAAATGAATGGATTTGATTTTACAATCTCATTTTTTTCTTATTTAGCAGCTTTTACCAATAGTGATGGGACTTTTGGCTCTTTAATGGGATCTGAATCTTTTGGCTGTATTCATTTCAAAGAGCTGCTCAAAAGACTGGCTCTATCTTATGCACTACAATAGTAACAATTTAAAATTAAAATTAATAAAAAAAATAATGATAACAGAAACTAGAAAGAAAAGCATTTAGTTCTTTTAAGAAATGAGATCTGATTCCAGCTGTTCACTTTGAAGGTGCACAATGTAACTTTTCTGGTGGACGAACATCTGTTTGTTACCCTGATTCATCAGCGAGTTTCACTTTGTGGAAAATGTCTGACCTCGCAACATTAGAATTTGTTCGTTCAACAGTAGGTGGGTACTTTTTTTTAATTTAACCAGTCGCTGCTATTTGGTCGTGACGTATGTAATGCGCCGCTAACGGAGCTATCTGGTATATTAAGCTTTTCCCAAATCCGGAAGAAGGGCAATAATGTCTTTCCCCTTGATACAATTCATCAAACACTTTGTTCCAGCTTTAAATACTCGATCTCAGGAATCGTTGCCCGGACTCGCGCTTCTGGGGTTCTTGCAAACCGTCTAGTGTATTCCGATTCCTGACCTAGTTGCTGAAGAGAAATGAAATTGAGCAGAGGCACTAGGTGGCACCAGCCTGGATAGAAGATTATAGCTACAGGAGCAACATGTCTATGGAAACAAGTAGGAAGGCCAAAGGGTCAAATAAGAGTCATACAATTTAATAAATGAGTAAATAAATACTCATGATCTCGTGTATGCCGCTTCAAAGTCAGTGGCTGTGACCCTGACAGTGTCACACCAAAACCAAACCACTCTGATACAGCAGATTTAGCGGGTGCACTCTAAGCGAGGTGTACCTTCCTGGGAGCTTTGTCTGGATTGTCAGGGTCCAGCAGGTAGATGTGATCACGGGCCCCTAGCAGCAGTCGGCCCCTTTCCTCGTCGAGCAGCAGTGTATGGGAGTGGAGTCCATCTGAAGGCCCCAGGATCATGGAGACACTGCCAGCCTGCACCAGGTCTGCAACACAAAGAAGAAAAAAGGATGTGAGCAAGGTTTTTTTTTTTTTTTCATGCAGCCAAGTAAAATTAGTTTTGCCCCAGTACAGATATATTGTAAAAAGGGGCTCCATATACTGAGAATGAGAACAAATTTTATGTGTCGTCCACCTGTGGGTTAAGGTAAAAGTGAGTTTTTGAAAATTATGTTTTGACTATTATATCATTAATTATCTGTACTAGAAAATGACTGCACTATGCATGTTTTGAAGTTGTTGCCAAGGAAAATTGAGCTTTCACGGAAAATATTTTGGTTCTAATGTTACCCGACCTGAATCGTTTTAATCCCCGTTCTTCTTTGCCAATATTTCTACCTGCCAGAGTCTACATAGTAACGTGCATTATTTAATATCTTTTCAATTCACCTTTTTTTTTTCCAATTCCTTCCCACTTGCAACATCAAAGAACAAACAATGTGACTAATTATCGTGCATGTTAAAGATGTTTTGGTAATAATGGATAATATTTTAAGTGCACAGTTCTTGTTGTATCTTGATTTAAAGATGACTAATCTTGTGCGGTCTGGTACCTTAACTACTCACAACAACATTCATGTCTTTTAATGTTGACATCCTTATTATGCTGTCAATCATCTGCCAGAGTTTTCCCAAGAAGTATTTCCCATGGGGCCAGTGCGTGCCAAAGTAAATAGAGGAGAGGAGATAGGTGGATGTAATTTTTGACACTTTTGGCCCCCATTCAATGCCTGCGGTAGGGAGTTGTCAGTATATTTCAAGCTAAAAGCAATAACACAATGACAAAATTAGGCAAAAATGTGAGAAATGAGAAATAAATCATTGCTGCTTGTTGTTTGGCAAACCGAGATAACAGGGATACTTGTACATAAAACAAGAAATGTCCCAAGTCATGCTCCCTAGTGGAACTCTCGTACTCTGTCTTCCAAAACTGTCTGCATGGGTCTATAGCCTGCAACATGCTGGGCAACTTGCCAGTCTCAGTGTCAGGAGATTGAATGTCTCTCTCTACTCTTCATCCCCTTTGAGCCAAAAAAGCAGTGCTAATTTGAAAACTACAATGCCCTAAACAAGGACCAAAGCTCTCCTAATTTACATGATAGTTATTATTTCACAAATAAAATATGACACATTTGCTTGATACATTTTCTCCCCCAGCCTCGGGTGGCCTGGGAATGCCTTGGGGGGAGCTGGAGGAAGTGTGTGAGGTGAAGGAAGTCTGGGAGTCCCTGCTTAGACCCGGCCCCGGATAAGCGGAAGAAAATGGATGGATGGATTTTCTCCCTGTGTAATTTTTCTGGTGGATCACGCCCATCTGAAAATAGGGAGACTTGTATCTTTGTAAAGTACTGAGAAGTGTATGTTTTCGATTCCAGGCAACATAAATATTGTATAAGCATCTCTTGAGGCCAAAATGAGTCAGTTGTGTACTGTCTGCATTTAATTTAAAAAAATGTTATTGTCCTGTAACCACGAAGTGTATGTTAGCATGCTAGTTGTTGACAGCATTACTCTGCTCTGTTCTCTGCTGTCTTTCATCTTTTTAAGACAGTAAAAATCAGGTACAGAGCCTTTAACTGATGTAAATATATATTATAAAATCATATTTACCACAAGTACTGTCACAGCAAATGATATAATCTTTCTGCTCAGAAGCGTGCATTAAAAACAAACTTGTTTCATTCCTAACCTCCACCTCACAGATCCGCCTATGAGGTAAACGGCGCCTTTTCCCTCCACTGCCCTTGATCCAAGTGTTATGAGGAAATTGCAGGTTTGTGTTCATGATTTCCTTCTATGTCTCTCGCGTTATGCTCTTTGTAAACAACAGCTCAGTGTGTGTGTGTGTGTGTGTGTGTGTGTGTTTGGGGGAGGAGGAGGGGTGAGGGAGAAGAGGAGGAGGAGGGGGACAGGAGGAGTTTGGGAGAGGCGGAGTGGGTAGTAGGTGAGAGGAGGAAATGAGGAAGGCAAGAGGAGGAGAAGAAGACGGGGAAGAGGGGGAGAAGATAAGAGGAGAGGGTTGGAAAGGAGGAGTAGAAAAAGAGGGAGAGTAGGAGGGGTGTGTTGGGGTAGCTTTGAAAGGATTGACATTGAGATTACCCTTTTGGTGTGAAGAGGTTAGCGAGCGCCAATATTTGAACTTCTGCCCCCCGACCCCGGCTAATGCCCCTCACTCATACATCACGCACACATAGCCCGGAGATTAGCCTGCTAGCTCCCGGCTAACGCTAATCTGTTCGGTAAACACGGAGCGCTAAGGGTCCATTGAAAAGAACGGGGGCTTCAGAGGAGGTTGATTATGAAGGAAGACGTCAAACGAACAATGATCTAAAGTCCCAGAGATGAACTAGGCCAGGGCTCCGTGTCAGATGAAGTGAACTGTGGGATATCCTTCGAATTGTAAAGTTGTATCAGAAATGTTGGTATATTTTACCTAAGGCTGAGCAAAAATAAAAAAAATATTAATCGCATGAGTTCGAGTGCGAACAATTGCAATTAATCACATTTGATACGCAAAACTAATGAATGAATTAAAAAGTGGCGTATAGTGCACTTTTATTGGAAATGTAAATGAAAGAGCCATACATTTGTTGTGCAAACAGCATTTCTTTCACAGTGGAACCCTCAGAGCCTTCAAGGTATTCTGAAGGCTCAAGAAAATAATTATTGAATGAATTTTTGTACTACTAATATATGTTGTCAATATTTTTTATGCAGTGTGTAATAAACACTACTAGTAATAATTTCTAGATCATTGTTATAAACTTGGACTGATATTTCTTGGGAAACAAAGGGTTAATATAATGAAATGGAAATGGACCAATCACAATTTTTCTTCCAATGATATCTGGGTAAATCAGTGACTCCACCTGCAGCACTGAACTAAAGAAACACCTGCAGGGTCTTCGGTGGCTGGAATGAAGTTTGAGATTGACAGTTGTCTGAGTCAATCATATTTCACTGAGTTATGAGTGGGATCATATCACGAAATCTTCCGGACTTTCGCAAATACCTTGTATTAGCATTATGTAAGCGAGACTGCACTGGACACCTCTATTTGGACGGAGAAGAATGAGAAAGACCCTTGAACCAGAACCCGCGAATGCTCAGAGCCCACGGCTGGTTCGGCAAAATTAATGCATTAACGTTCCTTAAAGGTGCACAATGTAACTTTTCTGGTACATGGCCTGGTGGTTGCTTGGAGATGCTTTTCCTTAGATGAGAATGTCCTACAGAATGGCACTGAACTTATCTATTATGCAATTTATTTAACTGGTAATTTGTATAGCTCAAAATATGTTGAAAAGCATGCATTTTTACTGTTGGCGGGGTTACCTCTCCACAGATCTGACCATTAACTTTGCTTATAGTTTCACCCCCTGCTTGTCTCCATAGACCAACTAGAAGCAATTGGATCAATAAGAAAAGTTCCCACCTTCCATTGAGCGAACAAATTCTAATGTTACAGTTTCCACAAAGCGAAACTGGCTGATGAATCAAGCTAACAGATGATCCTCCACCAGAAAAGTTACATTGTGCACCTTCAAAGTGAACAGCTGGAATCGGATCTCATTTCTTAAAAGAACTAAATGCTTTTCTTTCTAGTTTCATTTTTTCATTTAATTTTTAAAAAAATTAATTTTAATTTTAAATTGTTACTATTGTATTGCATAAAATAGAGTCAGTCTTTTGAGCAGCTCTTTGAAATGAATACAGCTAAAAGATACAGATCCCATTAATGAGCCAAAAGTCCCATCACTATTGGTAAAAGCTGCTAAATAAAAAAATAAATAAATTAGATTGTGAAATCAAATCCATTCATTTCATAAAGCATTTTCTCAGGTAATAACTAATACAAAAGCTACTGAGAGGGTCACCTTTTTTGTCCTAACAGACACATTGTTACTAAGAATCATGAGAAACTAAATGAATCATGGGAAACTACTATCCCAGATTTTCACGGCTCTTTACACTTGCAGGTAAAAACGCCAAAATATTTTATCAGAAGTGCCTTTTGTTTAGATGGTGATGGCGTTTTGGGGGCTTAAAAATGCAAAAATCTGAAGCCACCCTCCAGAGTGGATAAGTTGAATACACTCCGCCGTAGCATTTCTGTCTACACTGCCCAAGATGCAAAACTCTGGTCAGATTTGCTCACATAGCGTACGTGTTTACGTCACACACCACACATCACGCGATGCCACTTTTGGGTCTTCTGTTGAGACCGTCATCATATAAACGTAGCCTCAGTCATGGTGCATTTTCAGTAAAAACGTTTATCATAGACGGAGATAGAAAACAATATGCAAACAACCTGGCAGAAAGGACTAAGTGGGCAGGGTTAGAACTCAAAACCAAGTATAGGCACTTTAATATATGCAAGTTTCTCAATACCGTCTGTACACTATTAAAAAAAATTGAATTTAATAAGCAAAACCCATGTGACATTTCATGAGACATGCATGTGACAGATCCCCAACATAAAACTTGTCAAAAGTATTCAAAATTAGATACTAATCATGTTCTAATTATTGAAATTAAATTTGACTGTCAGTATTGTGACAACACTAAGTAGATACATCAAAAACAAATTATGAATTGATCCTTGTTCCCCCAGTCACAGTGGCGACTGGATTGGAAGGGCTTCAGACATAAAAATCCTTCATTATTTATTTGGTGTTGTTAGTGTTGAAAAGTCCAAGATGAAAAAGCAGTGAGTGAGAAGAGTGTTTATAGTCTTTGCTAAATGAGTTTCTCTAATCCTTGTGTACCATGTAAATTTTTTGGTTTGTCTCCTAATCCGATAATTACGAGTACTAGCTTTCTTCATGGTAACCTCTACAGATCTGAATTGTGGATTGACTTGGAGATATCACTTGTTTGTTGTTACGAACACAATCATGAAAGCAAAAACTACATTGTTACATTCAATTTCTATAAGCCCAAGATCTTACAGATGTAGGTTCAAATCCCAGCAGAACTAGCC